CTCACGGACGCTTACATATTTCTCCTTGTTCACCTCTGGGAAAGAAAAGAGCAATAAGTGAAAGAGAGAGAGACAGAACTGAAATTAAAGCCTTCCATCTTCTTGTTTACCCTGAAGAGTTAACTCAAATTTGCACAACATTTCCCAATATATGCTGATCACATCAGGTTTCCAGTAAGAACGGAGATGAAGGGTCCTTTATTATTCTGTAGTGTCAATTTACGCTGTTTTCTTTGAAAGCTCAGGAAGGGCCGTTACAAGTGCCTTGTTCCTGGGCGAGGCTGGCAATAGCTGTTATGCACAAGAGTTTCAAAGAGTAATGCTTCATTATTACCTAGTAAATCCCCCTCTATATAAGCAACAGGCTGCATAGGGACACAGAACCTCATGAATGTTATTTGAGGCTGAAAGGGCAGCGTTGCTATTGGCTGCTAGGGACTGTGGTGACTGCATGTGGTGATTAAGTATAAAGTACGGTTTGTATGATATTTTCTGTACATTTCTGAGGGACACTGGCACATTCACCCTCATATGAGTAAATAATGACTGAATTTTCATTTTTTATTGAACTATCCTAAAAAGAAGTTTACCAGAGCTACTGAACAATGTCATGTCAGAATGAAAAATAAAGCAAAAAAGGTGAAGCAAAAATTTGTATCTACAAGTTTTATCTGACAATGGCTGATTAAAAGATCTGGCTATAAATATTTTTTAACAGGCTATGAAACCATATATTGCAGTATTTCATTAAAAACATAGAGTGAGGTCAAAAAGTCAAGTGGATTTATCATGAATTGTACTTGAATGGAAGAACAATGTTTTGTACCAAAGATTTCACATGGTCATTGTCACAAATTAGATTTGATTCTGAATCCCAGATTTTCGATGTGTTCTCAGACTTTTTAACCCCACTGTATTTATTCCTACATGACAGAAATAAGTTATTTTCCATTACCTATTTGTGGTAAACAGTGCAGCCAATTGTATTACTTGTTTACAGCTCTGTATACTTGCCAGTCTCTCGCAATGCATAGTGATTTTGTGCCTTGTATTTTCATCTCACTGTCTCAATGCCAGACATAGGTTGTTGCATGGAGCTCTGGAGTTGAATGAGACACTAAATCCCAAGTTACTCAAAGACAACAATTGACTGCTTTGAATAAAAAGATTCCGCTAAATACTAATTGAATAGCTAGATGCTAGCTACACAAGGAAGCATTATCCCCATTCTGAATGCAAAGGAGGTAGCAGGTACGTCAATAGATATTACAGGGATCATTCAGCCAAAATTATTTTGTGTTCCACAGAAGATAGAATTCCCTACAGTAGGGGTCGGCAAGTAAGTTTGGCATCGGGCCCAAAAAAAATTTGCCACTAGATGGTGGGCCAGAACATAATCAAAGGATAATTTAAGAAATTAATTGATGAAAAATGCAATTAAAATTACAACAACAAAAAAAGACTGTGTTCTGCCTTCGCTGCGTGTCTAAAGTATTTCAGTTTGTTTGAAATATCACAGTTCTGTTCATAAGGTAGGCCTATATTAAAAAATAAAAGAAATAAAATAACAGCAGAGTTTCAAAGTGGTTTATTAGAACATACCCAGCAAACACAGAATATTCCCCTAACGTTAGTTTTTGGTTCCCGTTTGGTTATTTTTTTGGGAACCAAATACTAACGGTAGGGGAACGTTCTTTTTAGGTTATATTTTTGTAACCATAATACAGAGCCCTGAAATTCGTTTAATGCAGCATTTATTAAAATACAGAAATTAGATCAATCAAAACGCGATTTAAATTATAATATTAAGCCAGGGTTAAAGGGTTAGTTCACCCAAAAATGAAACCTAGGCTGCGTTTTACTCACCCCCGAGGCATCCTAGGTGTATATGACTTTCTTCTTTCAGATGAATCCAGTCGGAGTTATATTAAAAATTGTCTTTGATCTTTCAAGCTGTTTAATGCCACTCAGTGGG